TTTAAATACATAATATGCAAAAAGATCATTCAATAACAATCAGCATAAAGATCATTTTAAATGAATAATAAATAGAAAAGCTTGCTTTTCTCTGCTTCAAACTAATAAATGATTCAGCTGCATTAAACTATTAAATATAAACAAGTGTATGAAAATGTAAAAMAATAACTTTTTTTAGATTGTAATTTTTTATGCACCATTTCCTGTGAAACTTTGTCCACGAGTTKGTTGGTTTGATGGAGGAAGCGAACGGTCGAGACGTCACCCAGAGCAGCGAAACACCTGCAGGAGACGACGAGACGAGTCAGAGGAACGAAACGTGCTCAGCTCGGAGGAGGCACCTCTGAAAACCTGCAAACTTAACGACCTGACATAAATTACAGCTTTAGACTAATTGGCTTCCAAGCAGGCAGCAATCTGAGCTCGACGAAACGCAAACATCTGAGCGTTCGGCTACTTTATTACCAACTCCCTCTGAACAGTTGCATCAGATCATGAATGAGTCATGAAAGAAAAAAACAYAGTTTTTTTTAAATAAAAAAGTCCTTCTGTTTGACTCTTCTTCACTCTCCTCCCTCATTAACATTAGCCCCTGCAGACAAAACCGTTTCTTTCTGGGATTTGTGGGATTTATGCAAATGGAGCTGAAGCCCGTTGAACAGAACGTGCATTATTAATGACAGAGAATTCAGATGTGAAGGCTTCCTCACAACGCAGAGAAATAAAGATGGMGAGAGAAATGATAGAAAATTAAAACCCTGATGATAAATGAAGTCAGAGGAGGAGGYCAGTCAGGCTTTTTAGTGTGGACATAAAACAGCTGGAATAATCCCATTGTGGGGATTTGTGCCACTTTTAGAACTAAAACCAAGTCACCAGAAGATAAATCAAGAAGTTTTAGGCTATTAAATGTGTGAGGAAGGTGCCACGTTTGACCTCCACAAATCTAATATGAAATAATGTGTTTGTGTAGATAAATGTAGAAGGCCTGAAAACATGTTTACAGAGATCTTTCCTCATTAATAAAATCTGTGGAGACCAAAAAATCCTAAATTAATGAAAATTAAAAAAAATAATAAAG